CTTTATTGTGAGCATGTGCAAAAGTTTCCTTACAATCAATTTGTTTAACAAGGGAGAAAAAAAATATCTGCCTTATGTTGGGAGCAATCATACAACCCTCCCAACGGGTGTCCCACTCACTACCAACCAAGCTAAACGTGCACACCAAAATCCAAGGATTTTAAAAATTTTGACTATGTTCTGGCCCGCCATGTAACTTGAAAAAAATTTGCTAATGCCAGACTTATTTGCCGACCTCTGCCTTAGCCCATGCCCCTCCACACCGACACATCTACCCACCCACACAAATACATACACACCATATGCTGGTTGCTTGACACATTTCCTTTAAAGCAGCCTTAAAAGCTTTTCTCATGGTCGTCCACCTAATGAAGTCAGCCTTGAAATCATTGTTTCCGTTGGCAGATACAAGCCAACCCTCTGAGGGATCTTGCCCAGGCAAGAACAAACAGAGAGACAAAGAGAAAACACTTTTTATAGACTGCATTGTACAGGACCCTCAACTTTCAATATGTGCCAGAAGCCATTTCCCATCTTCTAACACTATAGCCTGCTCCTATGTTGTATTTTATTTTTATTCTCAAATGTCAACTGCTGGGGAAGAACTGTAAGGCTATATTGCACAGAAGTAATATAAAATGAAAAATTGGAAGAGGTATTAAAAACGCTAGCCTCTTTATATGTAAATGTATGGTGATTGAACCTCTTTCTCTTATGCTCCCAAATTCACACGCCCAGATTTTTCTTGTTCTCTGACATGAACTCCCTCCCACGCACGTACACACACACACACAAACACATATACGTACACAGACATGGAGCATGCGCCTATATTCTCCACTCTCTGCTGCATTGTTTTCTTTACTGTAATGGAACTGAACAGTTTTCTCAATCATCTCTGGTGAGTGGTTTCCATTTATTTTGTTTTTTCCCCCCACACACTGTCTTGCACCGCCTCTATTTCTCTTTGTGTAACACAGTATTGTTAGGGTGCACAGTTACATCATAGCTACTAGAGTCTCCAGTCAGAGCACATCATACAGTATAATATATTCAAATACACTGGCTACACATTCCCTTGGCTAACAAGAAAAAATGCCATAACTAGGCTTAATAGATGTCTGATAGCACATAGTTCAAATTAAATACACAATAGTAGGGCTGTAGTGAAAAGTTTGAAGCTTCAAAGCTTTGTTCATAAGGTTGACATTCAGTTTCTAAATCACCTTTTAATTACTGCTCATATTATAAAAACATAGCCACCAGGTTACAGCTCTCAGTCTCCGTCTTCTGTACTTTACAGCTATGCCATGGATGCATAGCTACAGGTCAGTGTGTCTGTTTGACCAAGGGCAGAGCTGAGCCACGCACACAGCAGACAGGCTGAGCAGACAGCGGACAGGATGAAGCATTCAGTTGCATTCACACAAAATCCCTCCTGCAGGGGTGTGCAGAGTTGTGGAGTGTTGGGGCCGTGTTCATTTGCGCCCCAGAACACAACCGCCCCTTGCTCTCCCCATTTCATCTCAAGCTCACTCGACCACCGCTTCCCTCAGGCCACTTTGAATGGCATGTCCACAAACGGCAACCTACAAATCCCACTCAATCTGCCCTAACTCTTACAAAAACCATCATTTGACTTTATTCAAATTGAGGATTCTGTTCGGGTTATGTTTTTTTTTAAGGTTAATGATGTCAAAAAATATGACGGCAGTTACCCAAAGCTTTGAAAACCTCCATTGAAGCTTTGAATGTAAAATAAATTACATTTGGTAATCACAATGTGATTGCTACACAATAATAATCAGAATTCTTTTTAAATATTGGGCAGATAAAGACTAAACAGCATACTTTATTTCTTGTAATGTCATGTTTTTTGTAATTAATTTATATAAACTTACCAGTAAATTAAATTCTATGAATATTTTTACCTGTTACAAGCACACTTTTACCTGTGGGTATCTAACTAAGTGCTTGTACAGATGGCTACTTTCACATGTTAATACATACAGCCATATTAGTGTTGTGTGTGTATGTACACACCGAATACCCATGCAACAAAGAGTGAACTGACCACACTGTATAAATAAAAGTTGAATGAACGAATGCGTGAAAATATTCTCTCCATTAGTGCCCCTGGAGCAGACATGGACTGAGACTTTGTTGGGCCCTGGTGGTAGGAGTGTTTGGTAGGTGAAGCTCTGCACTGCTGTTTTACCTGCTGGTGCACCATCAGCCTAACAAAGCACAGTGCTTGAGGAATCACTGTTATTTAGACAAGCTGTCAGGAACCACTGACTGTGAGGAGAGACAGAGAAAAACAATAACACAGCAAGAAAAGGGCAGGGGAGAGCACCGGAGCAAGGGATAGCTCAGGGGAACGTGATTGAGACAGCGAGTGCAACTGATGCATAGCTTCAGCAATGATGTTCGTGACTGAATTTTTGACCTGTTTCTACTGGCTTGTAACCTTGAGATATGTTGTTAAACTTACTGTAGAACAACTCTCCAGATTGTCAGAGAAATATAACCTTTAGATCACCTATATACAGCATGTCTATATAGCCCCTTTGACACTAAACAGTAGTGGAAGTTAAAAAGTAAGCCTTGAGTTAGTGGACCCTGTGTAAACTTGAAATAGAAGCATCAACATGTCTAATGTACATGAAGATAAGAAGCACAATAAAGATCTCTTTCTGTATTTCCAATCTACATCTATAATCAAGCAGAATCTCTTTAGTTCACCTTTATGTGTTTCACAGTATTTCCACAAGAGGACATTAATTTAGATAGGTGATATGCCTGATAGCTTCATTTGATGGAGCTCTTCTGACTCATCGGTGAGTTAACGTTCATGAGGAGATTGAAATGGGTTCCGTTCAAGTTCCTTATTTGAGCATCTTTCAAACAGACAGGTTTGTGGTGGTCATTTCTCTCTGCCTGCAGCCTGTATGTGAGGGGAGTATATGATGGAAGAATACTGCACGATTGAAGCTTGCGTCTGTGACTCAGCTGTCGCTTTCTACTGAAAGAGGCTGTAAATTCTACCCATATACTGAATTAATAGACATTTTATACCTGGTGTAAATGACAAAATATAGTTTATGTTCTCTTTCACATATATGCACATATAAACACAGGTACAAACCCCCAGATGCAACGAATCCACAGAGACTGTGTGCTCACGCTTTACAGCTCTGTCCTGTCAGGCCGGATGCATGATGACACAAACGAACTAGATAAAGAGGTTTAACAAACATCATTTAACACATTCTGTTTGTTGCTTATGTGGCGCATTGCAGACAGTAGTTTTTTTATGTATTATTATGTAGTATTTTTAACTGAGAAAGCTTTTTACTACTGCTATGAAGCATTTTTTCCCTTTTCATTTCCCTTTCTATTACAAATGGTTTTGGAAATATCACAAACCGACAGAGTGGTAAATAGGAAGGAATTCTGCAGATTAATAAAACATTGGATTTTTTATATCTGGTTTGCTAATAGAGCATGTAAGCTTGTAATTTGTCTTTAGTTTATATTTTCTCACTGTAATGGATTTCCTAATTGCCGTGTAGTTCCAACTAATATGGTAAAATTATTAAAACATCAATTATATGACGCTTGCAGCTCTTGGCCAATTTTGAAAATCTTCTATTCAGCGTCAATGCACACAATAAATAGTCTATTTACTATGTATGTTTATTTAAAATCTACTTTTATTACCGCATCATTTTTTTCCTTTTCTTGCAGTCTTTTTTTGTGAATTATTATTCCAGCCATTTCCAACAGTGATTTATTAGGATTTAATCATCAGACTTTATGAGAGATGAAATACGGAAAAGGAAAAAGAATTCAACCAAATTCCAACATAGTATGAGATGCAATATTTTCTGTTGTTCATTTTTATTGAAAAACATCTCTTGGTTATCTGTTACTGCTCGAAATTCAAAGCAAGTTTGATGCATCAGCGTAGCTCGATGCACCATTTGACAAATTAAATTGCACTTTGGTATGTCACATAATTCAGCCATTTGATGATTCTTGTATGTTTTCTTATAAAAAGGCCCAGCATTGTATTTCTAAAACTTTATTTCAAGTATGTTCATTCTCTATGTACCTGCCACATTTTGCTCTGGTAGTATATATTCTATAACAGAGCAACTATATGTCATTTTTGTAAAGTACTCTATATACAGGGTATTTAAGCAGTATTAGAGCAAGGAGCCGTGTAAATGATCCTTGTCCTGGTTGCCACACTGTTAGTGAACAAGTGAGTTAGTGAGGCAGTGAGTGAGTAATCGAGTAAGTGAGTGAATGAATGAATGAATGAATGAATTACTGTGTGAGTGGATCCCTACATGTGTGTTGCACATACAGCGCCACAAAGAAGGGAGACTGCACAGGCTGCCTTTCATGATGGAGACTTAAATTTAAAGTAGCACTTTCAAAAAGCAAGGAGAAGGTGCCACCATAATTCATATTTGCCACTGCATTCAGAACTGGTGATGGTTGAGGTTTTCCAACCTGCCGCCGAGGCAGCCATAGAATTACAACGTTGGAGCTCATTTTGCTCGGATCTGAGTTCCCTGAATAATGCACCTCTTCCCCAGCAGTGAACAACCACATCAATTAGGAAAAATGGTCTTGCAGCAACATTGGCTTCAAAGTTTTATTATCCACTGTTTATGATATTAGTTAGTAGGATTAGATGTAGCCAGCAGCCACAGCGGTGGAGTTGTGCCCTGCTGCCGCCCATTTAAAATACAGAACACTTAATGTTGCCAGCTGGCTTATACAGCACTAACCGCTTACTCTCTGTAAAAACCTTTAAACTATACAACACGATGACCAAACTCCACAAAAATTCAACCTGATTAACAATACTAAAATGTTATTTTGCTGTCCTGTGAAATTCTGTTTTGACGCAAAACACTTAGGCATCACATCAGTTGCTGTTATCATTAACAGCCTCCTAAATAATGTCTTGTGTTGTCTTAAAGGTCACAAAGGAAGAGCGGAAAGTCACTGAGAGAAAAGAGAAGAAGGAGTTCCAAGCACCACCTCCTGTCATCATGTTCTCAGGGTCCGGCCTGAACAGCTCCAAGGGTCTACGGAGACAGAAGAGGGACTGGGTGATCCCACCAATCAACGTGGCGGAAAATTCTCGAGGACCGTTCCCTCAGATGCTCGTCAGTGTAAGTGACAGACTTGATGGCCCGCATCACTGATTTGTTCTGAATTTACAGCTGGGATTTCTTGAGGGCACTTCACGGCTAACGCTGATTGGGGGAGTGTGATGGACGGTGACAAAGAACAGAAATACATTAGCATAACTGGTTTGTTCTCCACATCCTCGCAGATGATTATGTTGTGTTCCCCTGATGTAATTATAGCCACAAAATCTTAAGGGTATTTAAACAGCCCTGATTGGCCCTGAGAAGTTTTCCCTTCAGACACAGAGCAGGCTCCAAAACAGCTAAGCAGCTAACCTCTCCCACAGTGAAATGAATGATTATTTCTGCTCCTTCATGCATCCTTTCTTTTCTTTATCAGGCCATTTCAGAGAGGTTGCCCGAAGTTCAATACTATTTCTATAGCTCCTTTATAACAATACAATTTGTCACAGAATCTTTACTGAAGCCATAACTCCTGGCCTCCTGCGGGATATAAAAAGTATGAAACCCAGGCCAAAAAGAGCAGGACAGTGGTTCATCCCTATGCACCAGAAAGGACACGATGATTTAAAGTTAAATCAGATAATGACATGAAAAAGAACCTGCATCCATGTCTAAATGATTTTTTTTAGTATATAAGGAATATCCAAGTAGTAACACCTCAGCTGTTGGTGCCTAATCATTATTCAATAGATGTGTCCTCATTTATAATTCAAGATTGGAATGTGGCAACAACAACTGACTCCTATCACGGCAAATTTCATTCCTGCAAAACTGCTAGTTTTGATAAGTACAAAATATAAACACAACATGGTGAGGGTTGGGGGTTGGAGGTCGAGCCTGTACAAGCCTGTCTGAGAAACAAAAAAACATGAATAAATAAACATTTGTATAAATGTGTTGTTGTGGGAAGGCACGAGCTGCAGAGTGCTTAAAATTCAGAGATTCTGTCACAACAGAATGCGCAGTTTGCTTCTCTCATAGCAAAGCTCTAGACTCTAAGCTTGTGGCTGTAATTCATCAAAAAACATCATTCCAGGAGGCCCCCCTACTTCATTCCCTTCTCCTACTTTCCATCTCTCTTTATCTGGAATATCTAACCATCAGCTTTTCCTCGCTGTTTACAAAACTCTCACAGTTTATCTCTTTTGGGTCTTAAATTGTGCAAAAGAAGCACTTTTTCCCCTTTTGTTTCTGTTCTTTGTTTTTCTACCGGGTTTCATCCAATCCCCAGGGAAAAGCCTGGGGAGCTGCTTGAAAGAAACTTTTTTTATTCTCCATTTTTTTTATAGTGAAACAAAAACATCAAGTCAAAGAGGGGAGAGTTTGTAAGTCATTGTTTAGGAGTTGGAGTGCTTCTACAGCTGGAGTGTGTCCCATCAGCCTGGCACAGTGTGGCACTCTCATCTGAGCCCGCTGAGCTCTTCAGTAGTGCTACACAAGCCATAAACTGGCCATACAGTTCTGCTGTTTCCATGAGCTGGTCAGAACCAGAGAGAGACAGAGGGAGAATGAGAGAGGGTATCAAAGGACTATTTGGAAGTATAGTGTGCAGCCAAACACAATCCACTTTGTGTAGTAAATAGGTCCGTCAGGGGCTGGTGGATTGCTGAGAGTGGAACGTTCAGAGCAGAGGAGAAGTGATGCGTGTTGATGCCTCTGCTGGGCTCTCAGACTCCCGTCTTTCTCTTTAATGATGACTGGAGGGCAGGCAGGGCCATACTGAGAACTAGAAATTTTAACAAGGAGACAGCTCTGGGGGGTGGATGGCATGGGGAGGGTTTTGCCATACTTATTGTTTATGCGTTTAGTCCACTTTTATAACCGTTTTGGTCCTCTGTTGAGAATTGAGGCTTGTGTGCATCTGTGTCATTACCCTCAGTCAACACTCTCTCAAAACAACAACAACAATCCAAGCAAAGATAAACAGTTTAAACTGAAGACAGAACATTGTGTTATTTAGTCTTTGACGTTTAATATGTTAATCACAGTTTCAAGTTTCATATGGAACATGTTGCAAAACAAAGCTTACAGTCTTTCTGTCTCTCATCTAATCCCCTGTCTCTCCAACTGTGCCATTACTCAGTTTTCTGTGTGCTGAGGCTGTGTGATGCCTCCCCTAATGGCCTGTGAAGTCAGTCCCTTTCCTAATGGGCTGTTCTGTCATCCAGCGCAGCACTGAGTGACATGCAGGCAGCGGCCTTCCCCACCATCCTGCCGCTTTTCTCCCTGCCCTGACCAAGTTGCCATCAGTTGGACAGGTGGTGTGACAGCAGCCCTCACCTGCATCTCCACCGGTCTGCAGCACTGTCACTTTGATCAGGCCAGCACAGGATCGGGCAGGTGTCAGGACAGAGGCCCTACTGACTGGCCTCTGAGCTTGCAGCCTGACATGGCTTGAGGGAAATGTTGACTGCTTAGACAAAGTCTTGGCAGAACTGTACTCCCATTGCGCTCTAAAGCCAAGACAGTTTTTGAGCTAAGTGAGATGTTACTGACTGCTTTTTATTAATAGCACTGCTGAAATAATTGCTGTTGCTCTTCAGACTATTCCACTGTACATCAGGGTGTAGTGTGCATGGTATAACTTTGTGGCTTAACATTAGATCATATCAGCCTCTAGTGTCACAGAGTTGAATGCAGCCTAGTGGTAGCAACACTAGTTTCCCCTCTTTTTTTGTCTTCCAGATGATTGACAGCATTGCTGTGCTTTTTTATAACCACAAATGGAGAGAGAAAAAACAAAAACTGTACTCAAGCACTGTTACTTTGTAAAAACAAGCAGAATGAGAGTAAAGTAAAAATGGAAAAGGAAACAATACCAGCACACTACTGTTTTTTTTCCACTTCTTTTATTTTATGTGGATATGACATGGCTTTGGTAGGTAAATATGGTGCCAACAGACCTGGGATCAGCAGACCACCAGCCTCTTGAACATAATGTGCATACATTTTGACACTGAATAAACAAAAGTAGGACAATGAAAGTATACAAATGTAATGGAGTAAAAGTAATGATTTGTAATGACAAATGTTACTTATTACTACCCACCTCTGCTTACAATAGATGGGTATGAGTGGTGCATAACTTTTAACACAAAGACAAAATGAAAGTCTTGCAAAGAGAGCCAACTGTTCTGGAGAAATCAAAAAAGAGATGAAGAGATCCAGAAACACTAAAACAATGGAGGGAGTAATTTTTCACAATAAACAGGTGTTCTTTGTCGTTCTCTTTCTTCTCCAGCCAAACAGCCATCAATAGCATGTAAGGGACATTGATTTTTCACAGAGGCTTTTTGAAACCTTCCATTGATCCACACACTTCTCCTAAGGCAGAGAGGCATTGATTTCTTCTGCTTGGGTAAATAAAAACTCAACGTAACCACCTCCACCACCACTACCCAACTCTCTTAACCCCCTATTAGAACAGCCGTCAGCAGAAAAATGAACAAAATCCTGATGAAACAACAGTTTAGCCAAAAAGCAAGATGGGGTATGAATATATGTTTTGTCTTGTAAAATGCCTTCCAGTAAATGAGAGAGATGTTACTCTGTATCTGACGCAGTTAAGAGACAGTACATTTACAAGCATTGGAATGTAATTTAAGTTTAGCTTAGGAAAATATGCTTATTTGCTTTATTAAGCTGGGCACTGAACAATTTTAGAAAAATGTTGTTAAATTCCAGCTCCTACTGTATGAGTATCAGAGCATCTGTGATGTAAAGCCAAAGCTCAAGAATCATGTGTTTAGATCATCAAGCCTTGAGTGCTCAAACTGTATGTGTACATAGAAAATAAAACAGTCCGTCATGTTCTGCCCAGACCGTTCTGGCTATTGAATTGCCAAAGATTAGTTTAAAAGGTCAGAGGCAGGTAGAAATTTCTTTGCTTGCAAAAATGCTAATAAGGTAGAAACATGCTGCCTCGATCATCAGTGCCATCCTGTGTGCTGAAACTTGAAACTAAAATTAATTTAAGTTAAATTTTGTGAAGCAGTTTTCCCTGTTTTCTTTATGTTGCTGCAAAGCTAGGCTAGTCGTTTTCCGGGTGTAGCTTAATATTTATTGGACAGATATGGTGTTATCGGTTTTATTATCTAGCTCTAAACAAGACAACAAATGACAACAATTTCCCAAAATTCCTTTAAGACTAACAAGCTTAAAATGTGTTAGTTATCTTTTACCTCACTGGCTGAGGTGTATCTGGAAATCAATGGTACATACAAAAACATTTCTCGCAGCATTAGCCTCTTTTCAGTCTTTTCTCAAGATTTTCAATTGTTAAACCATTGCATCATTTTTGTCCTTGTCCTCAGTTGTCTCTCTTCTAAAACATCTTCTTGTTGACATCTAAACCTTCTCTACTCTCGGTAATATTTTAGTGTTTATCTAACAGAGATAATATTGTGAGAGAGAAGACACTTATTTTGAGAGCTGGAATAAGTGTGAAATTCCTTTTGTTTTATTGGATAATATTTCTTTGCAAGAAAATGTTTGTCTGTCTGCTGGCTGCCCTGAGACAGAGAAGCCAGATATTCCGATAAAGTGCGGACTGCATTCCTCAATAATCACAGGACATTATATTGACAGGAATACCAGAGAGAAACAGCAGCTGCGAGAGCAATAAGCCAAATAAATGGGTACTTGTCCAATGCCCTTTATTGACTGATATGAAGAGAAAGAGGATTATTTCATATCCTGCACTTTTATTGACAAGTCATTTGTATTAGTAATGTGTTGGAGGCATTTATATCCTGGTAGTACCTTCAGAAAATATGTCTAATAAAAAGGAGCCTGCTTGTTAAACAGTGCACAAAAATCCGACATTTGTATCTGATTTGATGTGTGTTGCACTGCATCTGGTTATGTTTATTGTACTTACTGCAGCACCTGTGCTCCAGTTTCTACATCTCTCTCCATGGAGCGCGTTGAGAAAAGCGTTTTCTGAGCAGAATGAGAGAACTCCCCCCCTGAGTGTCTGCTTTCTCCTATGCGTACATTTACCAGTGATTAATGACTGC